CCTTTTTGTCTTCAATTGAACATCTGTAAGGCCTTTTACTACAGTATTTGTCCATGAGTAGGTCAATACGTGCTTCATATTCTTTGACAGTTCCTATGTCATACTTGTCTTTTGCAAAAATTGCTTTGTAAGTGTCTATTAGCTTGTATATTTCTGTTTTTTGTTGAATGTTTAAGTTACCCATACTCATCTGGAAATCTTCCTCTTTTATGTGTTCATTAAAGTTTATTAAAGAATTATTTGTTTCATCTTTCACCTCCTTAGAAGTATTGTTTTTATTTGTATCCTCATTTATGGGATTTATTTTTTCTTCAATAATTTCTTTCCTTTTCTGAGTGATCTTCAAATGCTCATCTTGAACCAGTCTGAATTGTTTTATAATATCTAGTCCGATTAGAAAGTCATATTTAAACTCTTTTCCATCAATTATATAAACATCAGCGTCTTCCTCGATATCAAAAATTTTTATTTTAATAGTTGTCAAACCGTTGGCCTTTTTAACACCATTAATTGTGGTTAGATTATCGCATCTAGAATTATCTTTTCCTTTTTGTCTTATTAATTTAGAATGTATTATAGAAACATTTGAGCCTGAATCATATATTCCAAAAGTTTCTAATTCTGAATTTAATAATAGTTTGACTTTAATTAATGGTGTTGTTATTAGTTTTTTTTGTCATTATTGAGTTCAACATCAATCACTGAATTGTTGATGGCTTTATTATAGTTTCTCTTATTATTATTATCTTCCGTCTGTTTGAACCAGCATTTCTCTTCAGGGTGGAACCGGCTGCCTTTATTTAAATTCTCACAGGTTTTACATGGCTTAATTTTATCCGGTTTTCCTTTTAACTCATAGGAATTTCTCTTCTTAATGAAACTCTTCTTGTTTGCCATGTGTTCATATTTTCCAATTTCATTGTACAGGCTTGAAGTTGATTCCACATTTTCTTTATCAATTTTATTCATAATATAATCTGGCAATCCTATTACAATAAGATTTATCATTGTGTGGGTATCAATGTTTTTGTTAACTTCTAATAACAGTCTTTCCTTTTTTGTGGCATATTCCAGTAATGATCCCGCTTGAAATCTAAATGTAAAGGCATATTTGACTTGAGACCAACCTTTATTTCCATATGTCTCACAAAAGTTGTTCTTCCATACTGCCCACTCTGAGTTCACCGTCAATTTTATCAACATACTACTATACCAATCTATGCACTGTTTTTCTAGAAGATGTTTCAAAATTCCAATTTTGTCTTGGTCCTTTACAATCTCGAATCTTTCACACTCATTTTCGAATTCACTAATCCACTGGTCAGCCCTTGATGTTTTATTTGAAAACTTTTCTATCAAAAACTTTTCCGCCGTTTTCCCTATATTCTTTTTCTCAGGGGTGTTGCTATTATCGTTATCCTGTGACGGCATCGTCTTTTCTGTTATCTCGTCTAAATACTGGTCTCCAAACTGTACATTTTCTCCTTCATCTAGGTATATTTTCTTCAGATCCGACGTTAGGGGGATCCATACAGAACGTGTTTGGTGCCTTTTTTTTAGAGAATTTTTTATTTTAGTAAACACGTCTGATGACAATATAGCAGTGTGTTTACTTGCAGGCTTCAACTCGTCCGGGATCTCAAAAACGCACCCGTCGGGCGTCTCAATTGAGGTTATGCATATCACGTTTGTTTTCCCGTCCGTTGACCCCAATACCACGAACTTAAATCGTAGTTTATCCATGTTTCTCGATTATAAGTAACTAGAAATGTCGTTTTATAAGACTAGTTCTATTGTTGTACCAGGAATTGAAAAAAAACGATGACGTTGCTCTGAAAACAAAGTTTCTTACTTTTGTAACATACACAAGAGTAATTGTACAATGTTATTACACCGTAAACTTAGAATAGGTATCTTACCTGAAAACAAAGAAACGACATTTAAAGTCTATTACTCTCAATTCCTTCTTATAATAACTTTTTTTACTTATTTACTTTGCAACCATATGCACAAGCGTGGCCGAAGTCATCTGCTTTTATATCGGTGTGTCGCCGTTACAGACAGCGCCATCTATCAGTCTATTTTAGTAGTCAGTAACTGCCTACCGGTCGTAGAGCGCTGTACAATGTACGTTGAAGAAATGCAATTTCTTTACATAT